GTGGGAGTCCCGGGGGGGCTGTCAGGTGGCAGGCATGTGGATAGGGGTCGAGGCAGTCAGGGGACAGGGAGCGGGGGGGGGGGGCGTTAGATGGGTTGGGGGTTCTGAGGAGGGCAGTTAGGGGGCGGGAAGTGGGAGGGGGCAGATAGGGGACAGGGGACAGGCTGTTTGGGGAGGCACAGCCTTCCCTATCCGGCCCTCCATACAGTTGCACAACCCTGATGTGGCCCTCAGGCCAAAAAGTTTGCTCACCCCTGGACTAGAGGTTAAAATACAGGCCTGGGACTGAGGAGATCTGCATTCAATCCCCAGCTCTACTGGCTCTTACCATGGGCAAATCACAGCCTTTGTTCCTGTTTCACTATCTGTGAAATTGAAACATTCCTTTCCTACCCCACTGGGGAGCCAATAGGTTTAATTTGTTAATCTTTTCTTTATGAAGGACTTGGAGAGCCTCAGATGGGGAAGAAGGATTGAGAAACCCAATGGATATCACGTTAACAAAACCATGCTCAATGGATTGCATTCTCGGCTATTGCACTTGGATCTTTACACAGATTTCCAGACATTCCCCTGCCCCCAAGAAATTTCAACGTACCTCAGGTGCCCCAAGCTATAATATCGCGACTCTCCGTCTGTCGACCGCACCACCTTGACAGTGAATATGGGCTGCAGTTGCCTCAGCTCCAGCAGCACAATGGCTAGATAGTGAATGAAGAGGAGAGCATCTACGAGAGACACCGCATACTGCACTATCCCCTGGTAATTGGTGTCCTTGGAGTCCAAGATGCGGACGCCATAGAAGAGCCAGTAGGAAAAAACAAACAGGAATATAAGGACCAACAGGAGGGCCCGGAACACGAACACTCTTGGTATATCCGCCTTCGGCTGACGAAAGAACAGAGCCCAGGTCCCAATCAGAAGAATCAGGAGTTTAAAAGCCACAGAGATGAACAGTCCCTCGCAGACGGTGCCACATGGCTCCAGTTCATCCCGCCACAGGATCTGGGGTAAGAGAATGAAGGCAATGGGGGTAAGGAAGACGAGGAGTCCAAGGACAGCAGCCACTGTTAAACCAAGGTAGCGTTTGCAATCCAAGCCAACACTGTCCTCCAGATCCTTACTGATCCTGGCAATGTCCTCCTGGGAGATGCTGTGCTCTGAGGTGCCTGTGATAGCTGTTGTGGTCTCACCCCAATTGTCATCCTGAAAGGGAAAGAGAATAAGGAAACATCAGTTTATCTCAATTCCTGACATTCTGCGCTTAGCAGCCAAAGAGCCACATGGTCGCCAAAGGCGACTTGACACTGCCACAACACAGCTGAACAGCAGGTTTAGAATCCCCAAAATGTATTCAACAATAATGTGGGAGGGTAGGAAGCAGGGGTAAATGGTCTAACCAAGTTTGGAATTTTTTCCTGCATCTACAGCCCCAGGAGAGGTGACTCAACATAAGAATGGCCGTACTGGTCAGACCACTGGTCCATCTAGCCCAGTAGCCTGTCTTCCAACAGTGGCCAATACCAGGTGCTTCAGAGGAAATGAGCAGAACAGGCAAACATCAAATGATCCATCCCCTGTGCCCATTCCCAGTTTCTGGCTAACAGAGGCTATGGACACTCAGAACATGGTTTTCTATCCCTGTCCATCCAGGCTAATAGCTGAACCTAACTTCCATGAATTTATCTAGTTCTTTTTTGAACGCCTGTTATAATCTTGTCCTTCACAATAACTTTACATGCTGATTATTGTGCATGGGTCTTTCCTTTCAGTTCCCTGAAAGAAAATCAAATACCCTGCCAATCTGTAGGGACAACAAAGATTACATGTTACGGTGTGAGCATGAGTAGAAGGGGATTCATGAAGGGAGAGAGACTGGGAGCATTTGCTCCTGCTACTTAGAAATCTGGAGAGCCAGCTCGGATGAAGAAACCCAGAAGTTAAAAATAGAGGAGCCCACCTCCTGCAGATACAGAACATTCTGTAAATGCAGGAACTAGCGCTCTTCCAGTCCGCAAGTACTTATAAGTGCACTACAGAATCCACCTGCAAGAGAAATCAGGTTTCAATGGTCAGCAACGAGTCAAGTGCAATTATGGTTATAGTGAAACCTCATCCATAGTAAAGTTGTGACATAAATGGTTTCATTTTCAAAGGGTTCCACTGCATGTTTTCTCAGTCTCCCTCACTAGTGGAGGAAACATTACACACACCCTCTGCTAGGGTTACCATATTTCCACAAGCAAATAAGAGGACATGGGGGGGGGGGGAAGGAGCCCCGCTCTAGCCCTGCCCCGCCCCCGTCCACTCCCTCCCACTTCCCACCCCCTGATTGCCCCCCTCAGAGCCCCCAACCCCCCGCCCCGCTCCTTGTCCCCTGACTGCCCCATCCTGGGACCCCTGCCACTAACTGCCCCCTAGGATCCCACCCCCTATCTAAGCCGCCCTGCTTCTTGTCCCCTGACTGCCCCCTCCTTAGAACCCCTCACCACCCCCCTACGACCCTACCTGTCCCCTGACTGCCCCGACCCTTATCCACACCCCCACCCCATATTCACACCCCCGCCCCCAGACAGACCCCCGGGACTCCCATGCCC